TTAATAATTATAACAAAGATTTATTATTGAGATCTTTTTATAGAAAAATATATTGGACTTGATGGGAATTTAACTCGTGACCACACTGTACCTGTGGTTTTTGTTATAGATCTTTGTATGTGCTGATTGTCGGCATTCAGCGTTGCTAGTGACATCTAGTGAGAGATTGTAGAACCTCGCCGGTGTAATAATTATAATAAAGATTGTTCGTCTTAGTCATCGAGTATATAACCAGAAATAGAGACGAAATAAGGGCCCCAATCATGACGTACGCCAATGTCGCATTCGCTCAGGCAATCCCCGCGCTTATACACCGCCTGCAGGCTCTCCAAAATAGATTCATGCGCAACGCGACGGGTGCCCTGTGGTACCTGCGCAACACTAACCTCCATATAGATTTACGGCATCCTACAATAGCCCAATTCATGAAACAGCTATCGAGGAAATACTTCGACTCTGCTCCTCACCACCCCAACCCCCTCGTGGTGTCTGCTACTTGGTTTGTAGTTTGTTTTACGGATTATGAGCCTTCAGCTCGCCCTTTTCTTCCGGTGGCACAGGCAAGGCCATCAGCGGCCAACTGCAAACCATACGTTCCTGGTAAGTCATCAGTGATACATCACTTATAATTATCAACTCTCGTTTGCACTGAAATATAGACAGCGCCAACAACTGACCTGTGTGTACGTCTCCGTATATTCCAAAAATATTCTGTATTTATTGTAATAAAGATAATATCTCTAACAATAGCATGCTGTTGCATTCGATGGTGTGGGGAAAAACAGCAAAACATCTAATTATAAAACAAACGAAATCCATTTTCATCGGTAATTAAATATTAAACATGTAATTTTGCAATTTTCGTCCATTATAGCAAAGCGCAAGTTAACTGGTCGATTTGAAGTGGAACAATCGACGACACCCGTCAATTGTTTCGAATTCGGGCTGGCCAATCGGAGCGCAGTTGTCACAGTAATGATATGGCTGAATTGTTTACAAAACAAATGAAATGACATTTCGTCTCTATTTCTGGTTAAATACTCGGTGGTCTTAGTATTCTTAGTTACGATGTCCTATAGGAGCTACTTTTAAACCTGGATTATGTCTCTTATGGCCAGGACTACCCCGAGGTAATGCAGGCGCATCGCGACAACCGCAACTACCTCAAGTGGAACTTGGAAGGTACAGCGCGAATGCTCGCACTCTACTTCCCCACCAAGCACATTCTGGTTGTGAGACCTTCTAGGTAAGTCAGTATGAGAACGCGCACTCCGCCGCATTGGCATTTTGAGGTGCTTTGGGTGCAATATTTCAACGGCTAAGGCTATTATTAGCCGCAAACGACGGTGTAGTGTGACATGTTTTAAAATCTCATTAGATGTTGTATTAATCTTCTCAGGATAGAATATAAGAGCTTCAGTTGCTACGACAATTTCGTGCCAAGCAACAATGCGGGAGTGCCGGACCACACTCCCACGCACAGTGCACTACACCACCTGGAAAGGTAAACTCCTTAAAAAATTTCTCATTTTTTTACCGCATAGCCAACTAAGGTACTAGCTATGCTCACAGCAGTTAAAAAATGAAGTGACCATGATTTTTACACTCAGAGCGGAAGGCCTATAAATTTATTATTGTTTTAAAAATAAAATTTATGTTTATAACAATAATAATAATAATTTTATTCTCAGACAACGTGATCCATAATATTTGTTAATAAAAAGTACTTAAGCTAGTGTTAGTTTAAACTTTAAACATAAAAATAAAGACAATACTAATAATAATTAAATAATAATTTGTTTATAACAATTACGAAATGTTTAATAATAATAATGATTTATTTCGGAATCTTGTCCACAGTGTTAGTTTAGTTTCCTAAATTAACTTAGGACCAGTGTTGTAGGCTTGAAAATAAAATAAAATGAAAAATTATATCCTGGTGTGGAGCTGCACCCAATGCTGTAACATTGAGAAATCCCACAGATCAATGAACACGCTCAGGAGTCCTTTAGTGCCAACAATATTTGGCACTTATTGTACTTAGATATTGCCAAATTGCTTTTCTTACACGCTAAAAAACGATACACGATACAATAGGGGTTCAGGGGAAAGAAGAGACTGATAAGCTTAAATTACGAATACGATCTAGACGATTCGATTTGCCTTAATATTGTATCGATTTGTTATAATTATTAATACGATAAAGATATATGAGATAAAGATTGAACACTCAGAAAAAATTCTTTCGATCCGGTCGGATTCGAACCGACATTTTCTAGCATACCGTGCCAGACGCTATACCAACTAAGCCACGGAACAAACCAGCGGACCTCACGAATTATTCTATGTGCTTGTTGTCGTGTCTTTGTATTTGGTTTTTTCAACGACTTTTTAGCCATCTATGAGAAATCTTAATCTTATTTCGTCACCCATTTAGATATCTTTACAACTACCAACCCTGGCTAGAGATGTCGCTATTTATTGTATTACATTTTTTATTGAATTTGATATTCTATAATTTTTTATGTGAAATTATTCCAAATTGTAATTATTAATACAAAGATCGAACACTCAGATAAAACTCCTTCGATCCAGCCGCATTTGAATCGATTTACTTAAAAGTAGCATTGAAATGAATCGATATAAAAAATTGCTAGATCGTATACACTTTAAACTGCCTCCATGGCCGAACGGTTACCATACCGGACTGCCACGCGGAAGTCCCAGGTTCGATTCCCGGGCCGGGAGAAATATTTGCGGGCGGGCTTTCGTGCGTGCGTTCGTGCGTGCGTGCGTGCGTGCGTGCGTTCGTGCGTGCGTGCGTGCGTGTGTGTGTACGTGTGTACTTGAATCGACCTTCATAAAAGTAGAATCGTAATATGCATCCCTACGACGCGTAACGCACAGTTTTTTTTCGCTCTTATTATATCCATATAACGTTTTTTCTGACCGGCTTAATGCGATTCAGTACCATGTGTGGTGATTTTTTTAAAATATCAAGTAACGGGACAAACAGTGCGCCTGATGGTAAGCTACACGCCTGTCCATAACAGTTGCAGTGTCACTCAAAGCTTTAAATCGCAAAGGTCTGAGGGGCACTGCCAATGCACCCGTCACCCTGAGACATAAGTTGACAAGTCCCATGTGCCTGTAATTTCACCAGCACCTTTACCCTTCAAAACCGGAACACTGTAACTAAAAAACTCCCTTGTTTATAAGTTCATCTGCAAACTAAGTAACATCTTATGTTTCACAGGTTACTGCAAGGTGTGACAACTAGGCTAAAATCAATGCCAACATCGGAGTTATTGGAAGCGGTGTCGTCAGTGTCGTTGCCTGAAGAAATCGACATTGAAGAACTGCACGTAAGTCAACCTATAACATGATCAATACGTCTCATTACTAGGCACGGGTAGTCTGCCACTCTGGCCCAATGCGAGTTGAAAATTCCACACTTTTTCCAAAGATGTAAACCTTCTTTGATATGCAGATTTCATCTTGATGCTTTTGTTCGCCGTTGAGTTATTGATACTAAACTTACAAATGATTGTAACGTAGAAATTATAATCAAAGTTAAAGACCGCCGCATACGCCACCACGGAAGAAAAAAAACAATTTAGGTGCTTTAAGCCTCGATTACTATCAGAACCGCTGTCACTAAAACTCGCACAATCGTATTAAGGTTAACACTGAAATCTTGATAATGATTGGTCGTAGTTTATAATTTAAAGAGATGTAACAAATTCTGAACTATTAACATAATTTAAACTTAACACTTTATTGCAAGTTACGACTGTAATTGAAATTTCTTTAAATGTGCTACCATCTAGCAACAATAGCTAAAAGGCTATGAGACTACGAACTATTAACGTTCTCAAAAAAAGTCGACTTTCGTTTTTTATAATAAGAAATCTGTCTGTGTAAAAATTAAAATTCAATAAAACAAGACTTAACGATGATATGAAACACCACTATGGATAATATTACAGCTGCGTCTATCATTTGTGCACCCCAAAGTAGCAAAAAGCTAATTGATTGGCGGACAGAGCTCAAGTACGTGGAACTGCACGTATTGTTAGCACACGTGTCCCGCCCTCTAAGCACTTCTACTGTATATATTGATCCGTGGGTACCCCCACTGAGTTGCCATAGCTCCTTGCTATCTAATGCTGAGAGTGGGTATCTATGACAGAAAAAACTGCCCCGGCAAAGTTTGTCTTAATAAAGTTAACGTGCCCGTAGAACGCGTCCGTGCACCCGCTGAACACGAACAAGGCCAACGGGTCGGGTGCGTCGCTGCCCGCTGCCGGTAGTCCGCCGGGCGCGCATAAGCCGTGAGTAGGTTTAGTTCCAATGGATGGTGCCACTGCTGCCTGGCTTTGCACGACTACGCCTAGGCCGCTGCCTTCCTCGTTTCACGAGTTGCAAGCTATCTTTACTAGTTAACCAGACATGAACTTTGATATGAAATGTAAACACTAGCGCCACCTATTACAGAACGATATGTAATTTAGTAATTTGCTCTGTCAGTCGATGTTTTCTATTGTTTGCACAAGTAGAACTTTTCTGTGTGAGTCTTCAAAAGTAGAATTTCTTTTATATTGCATTTTATAATAAATCTATGGTTTGGTACAAGAAATATTATAGGTACTTGGGCACTTCTTGTACCAAACCACAGATGTACATTCATCCATACAACGAGCTGCCCAAATTGTCACTCACTAACTTCAAATTTGAATGCCTTGCTATATTTTTAAAGCGAAAGTGAATAGGCCTTATATAGGTGTGCATGCTCCATCGTCGCGAGATGGAGGTCAAATGCGTACCTAATTTATGAAAAAAAAGTAAAGTGTAATATAATTTTGGTGAATTCATCTCTTTGGTCAACTCGTGAGCCATATCTTGCTTTTACATTATATGCGACTGTAATGTCTGCCTCACTTTTATTCGTTGTACGTCGAGCCTATAATATCTGTCTCGCTTTTATTACCTGTGCGTCGAGTGTATAATATCTGTCTAACTTCTTTTCTCTGTGCATCGAGTCTATAATATTTGTCTCACTTTTATTCCCTGTACGTCGAGTCTATAATATGTCTCCCTTTTATTCCCTGTGTGTCGAGTCTATAATATCTGTCCCACTTTTATTCCCTGTGTAGCGAGTCTATAATATCTGTCCCATTTTTATTCCCTGTACGTGGAGTCTATAATATCTGTGAAATTTATTTCTATGTGATACACAGGTTACAAAAGGTGTTACAAAAAGTTCACATAGACTCACTGTGATCCGCCTTGCAGCATACAAAGTTTCTTTTTTTTTTATATACACAATCATGGAATAGTTTGTATACTGTATTCTTGCCGTCTAATAAAATTATATCAGTCACAATACTAACATAAACAAAATGCCATAAATTAGAAATAACATAAACAATATACAATGTCAATTTTTTTAAATTAAATCTCTAATTTTGTAGCGTTATTTTCATTGAGGTAATTAAATAGCTTTGTATTAAACTCTGTAGCATTATCGCAATTCATTATTTCAATCGGAATTTTGTTTCACTTTTATTCTCTGTACGTCGAGTCTATGTCTGTCTCGCTTTTCCCTGTACGTCGAGCCTATAATATTTGTCTCGATTTTGTTTCCGACGTCCACTGCTATAAGTACAGTGAGAAAGAAAATTTAAATTCACTTTAGGTAATTATAGTATGAATCGTTATTAGACGTCTAAAACGTAAACAAATGGGATATCCGAGGCAAAAATATATATTTTTAATGGTAGTTTCTTATTTTTAACGACGATAAATTTATTTTTCGAATTAAATACATCTTACATTTTTGTGGGTGCCATGTGTTATACGCTATATCTGAGTGATTTGTACGCCTGAACTATCAGAGACCTGGACCCGCTCTGGTGGAGAGACCACCTTGCGCTTGACGAGTGCGCGCTGACGCTGATCGGATTCAGCAAAGGCTGCGTCGTCCTCAACCAGCTCATCTATGAATTCCATTATACGAAGACACTTACGCCTGGAGATACACATATGATGAGGTAATTGCTATACAATCATCCCTCTTAAAATCAAATAGGGTAGTTTGTTTATTGATGATTTCAAGTGAGTGGACGAAGAAGTCGTGCTCCTGGTGGTAAGTGACATGGGTAGGCCCATGACAGTTGCAGTGCTAATCAAAGTTTTAAATCGCTAACTGATATATTTAGTAACAATCACGCAAGAAAAAAAACTATGGAAGTGCCACAAGCGTCGTAAGCTCAGAGTAATCTCTGAGAACCTTTTCAAGACGAGAGTGAATAGGCATTATTTAGGTGTGCTTGCTCCATCGTCGACCTCATCGTCACTTTCCATCAGGTAAGATGGAGGTCAAAACCACTTTCCCCAAAATACTTTCACACATTCCTAATTGGAAACCATCGAGTACATAACCAGAAATAGAGACGAAATAAGGGCCATCCATCACTGACAACTCATCAGGCAAATGGGCCTTATATCACTTTTAAATGTCAACTCCCGTTTGTGCTGACATCACAAATTAGAAAGCTGAAATAGTACAGCGCCAACAATTGACCTGTGTGTACGTCTCCGTATATTCCAAAAATATTCCGTATTTATTGTAATAAAGGTATTATGTCTGTGTGCCTTATTCCAGCGTGACTATGGACAAGTTTTTGAAATTTTACTAGCCACAAAAAGTCGCTATTTAGTCGCAAAAAACTAGATTTAGTCGGTCAGCCGTTCAAAAGTTATAAGGGTGTTTTACTGTCCACGCTGGAATAAGCTTATTTTCTAGCTAGTCAAATTCAAAAACTCACCATGGGCAAGCTGGATTAAGGCACACAATATCTCGAACAATGGGGGGCTGTTCCAGTCGGTGGCGTAGGAAAAACAGCAAAACATTCAATTATAAAAGAAACGGAATCATATTCCGTCGGTTAGTAAATATTCAACATATAATTTTTCCAATTTTCGTCTATTGTAGCAATGCACAATCAAACTGGTTGATTTGAAGTAAAAGAATTGACGACAACCGTCCATTGTTTCGAATTCGGGCTGGCCAATTTTGAGCATAGTTGTCACCGTAATGATTTGGCAGAATAGTTTTTAAACAAATAAAATTACATTTCGTTTCTATTTCTGGTTATATACTCGATGTTTGAAACACTGTAAAATCTTGATAATGATTGGTCGTCGTGTCTAACTTAAGAAGTAACAAATTGTGGAATGTTAATATAAGTTAATTAATTCTAATGACGTTGACTGGATGTTTTTTTACATTTCACGCTCCTTGAATACTTCTTATTAAGATAAATCGTTACTAACTAGTGGGGACTTGAGGTGTATCCAGGTGAATAGAGCTAGAGGAATGCATTACTTGTCATTTGCGTGAAATACGCTGAGATGGTTATTGTTATTACAGATTCATGGAAAGGATAGAAGACATGTACTGGCTGGACGGCGGGCACGCGGGCGGCAAAAATACATGGATCACGTCTCGGAGTTTACTCGAAACCCTCACTAGATTGAGTGAGTTTAAATATAATTATTTGTAAAATACGTGATGCATACTGAAAGTTCCTGGAATTGCCCACTTATGAAAGAAACTAAAAAAAAACAAATGCGAAATATGAAAGGGAAGGTTGTGAGTACTGTCATTTAATTTTTCCTAGTGGCGTCGTTTTGAAAACTATGAGTCGCTATTACAATGAATTTTAGTCGTGAAAATTTTCGATGTGACTTATGATTTTCTCCGATTTTCGATGTGACTTAAGTCAACAAGAGAGTTGTCAGTTGTCAGTTGGCATTAGGTGATGAAGCCCCATGTCGTAGCACTGTCTATTCGTGGTTCAGTGATTTTACACGTAGACGTGATCATCTGCATGAAGTACGTGATGGTCAGCCGTCGACTGCGGTTACCGAATTTAATATTGATCTGATTGAAAAGACAAAAAAAAGTACTTGTCAGCAAATTCGTACTGTGTTAGGCATTGGAATGAGCCAGGTGCTAAATATATGGCATGTGCATCTGAAGGTTCGGAAACTTTACACTCGATGGATATCGCATGATTTAATGGAGTATCAGGTAACGACTGCGTGTACAGTGGTGCCGGAAAATGATAAAAAAGTTTAATGGAGGACAATCAGTGATCAGTGACAGGTGACGAAACCGGGTGTACTGCTTTGAACCAAAAAAAAAAAGCCAGTCCGCAGAATGGGAAATTTTCATAAGCAGTAGAGCTCCTTGTGAAAGAGTTCGTCCAGGGAAGTACTTTACCTATTTCTGCCGCCAAGCAGTAAAGTTAACAATGACTCTTTTCCGGTTTTGAAGGGTAAGGGTGCTGGTGAAATTACAGGCACATGGGACTTGTCAACTTATGTCTCAGGGTGACGGGCGCAGCGGCAGTGCCCCACAGATCTTTGTGATTTGAAGCGCTGCAACTGTTATGGACAGGCGTGTAGCTTACCATCAGGCGCACGGCTTGTTCGTCCCGTCACTTGATATTTTTTTTAAAGTATTTCCTTTAGAAGATTTACCGATCGTCCTTCACCACGACAACGCCTCTGCACATTCCGCTAAGATATTGAAGGCCTCAAATGAGGCCATACAACCCAGACCTTGTACCATGCGACTTCTTTTTATTTCCAAAAATCAAAGACAAACTTAGAGGTTTACGATTTAGTGAATGCGTTCCACGAAGCCATCGAAGAGGTCTCTACGGAAGACTGGTCCCACTGCTTTTCATAATGGTTTCATCGAATGCAAAAGTGTGTGAATAGCGAGGGCATATACTCTGAAAAACAATAAATCTATTATAAACATAATATCTGGTCTTGCTTATCAGGCTCGCAGGAGTTTATTACTAACATATCGAATATATATATATCGGTAATTAAATATTATATATGTAATTTTTCAATTTTCGTTCATTATAGCAAAGCTCAAGTTAAACTGGTCGGTTTGAAGTTAAACAATTGGCCGATCGGAGCTCAGTTGTCACCGTAATGATTTGGCAGAATAGCTTTCGAACATTTTCGTGAACGACTGGAATGAATGATATTGTGTAGGTTTTTTTTTGGTGTCAACTACGGTAAATTACGATTGTTACTTTAACTTAAAATTACTACAACTGTTTTGCTTTATTTTTAAATTATACATATAATATGTGGTTCATTAAGCATTTCTTGTAATATTCACGCAGAAAATATAAAGAACAAATAAAAATATATTTTTGACGTAATTAGCCAAGACGCTATAAAATACTCATTGTTATCCGATTTGTTTGAAGAGTACCATTTCAGGAAAATTATAAGTGACAAAAGTATGACAACTAAAAATTTCTGTATATTGGAAGCTAGTACTTTATACTTTAAATTGTATTTTTTGTAAACTTATCGTACATAATATTTACATTATAAATCGTCTCATCCGAAGAACAGAGTCCGGTGTGATTATATAGCAAAAAGAGGATAAGTACGTTACGTGAGTAATTTCGTTATTCAAACTAAGGCCTATGTAAAGGTGTTTTGAGAATTTATATATCTTATTTCGTTTCGGAAATATAAAATCGAACAACGGTCGATCTGACATCCACAGCGAAGAAGAACGAACGAAATGTACTATGGTCCTGAGAACAAGTAGTCTAGCACATAGATCTTTGTTCTACGGACAAGTCGAAATATCAAACTGAAGGCATTGGTAAACATTATCTCGTAAAAAAGCAAAAATATAATGCAGTAAATTGATTTTATTTAACTCTCTTTTTAGAAGATACCTTTTGCAAAAGTGTTTTATTATTTTTTAAAAATAGCTTTTTATAGAAGCTACCTAAAATAGTGAAAAAAAAGTATGCTTAGGTAGAAATTTGGTAGTAAATACTTATATAAAAAAGTAAATTATATACTGCTAGAACCATGAAAAACGTTAAGTGGTGCAGTCAACCTGACCTCAGAACTTTATTTCTTTAATATTTCCGTTAGCGCAAAGGTATAAAATATGTCAATAAAGGTACTAAACAGTTGAAAATTTGAAGGAAATAATGAGCAGATCCCGTTTGGACCAGCCATCCTGACGGACACAAATAAATTTAGTAAAATATAATTTAATTGCAAATATAGTACATTTCGCATAAACTTAAAGTATAAAAAAGAATAATGTGTGGGGTATTAGTGTTAAAGATAGAATGTCGAACGGTATACTAAGAGAGCGTTGTGGTATGAAAGATGATGTAGCGACAAGAATAGAGAGATGGTTTGGTCATGTAGAAAGAATGAATGTTGGTAGATTAACGGCACAAATTTATAGAACGTATGTGGATGGAAGCGTGAGGAGAGACCTCGGCGAACATATCTCAATCATATTGGGGATGTCCTTAAAAAAGGCCGGGTTAAGAGTACCAAGAATAAACGGGCATGTATGAAGAGTGGCCAAGAGCGGAGCAAGTATAGGTTCATTGTCTCTGCCTATCCCGGTGGGAGACAGGCGTGATGATATAATGTATGTAAAAAAGAAAAACATTCTACATTTGTTCCAGATGTGAATATCTACATCCACGTGAGTCCTTACCAGGTGCACGACGAGGGCCGGCCTTGGATAGGCCGCGAGGAGAAGGCCTTCACGGGCCTGCTCAGGAAACTAGGTGCCAAGGTATACTTCAGATCAAAAACATCATCAATCCATCATACATTACAGGTCTCCTCAGAGGAGATGGTTTAGGCCACAGTCCGCCACGTTATTTATCAAAGGTTTGTGAATCTTCTTCGACATGCTGGTTTGGGATATACGTGATTTACATCCGAAAAAATAGTTTCATTCCAATGTGTAGCAACGACCATAGTCTAGATAAAACTTTTAGAATTGCCTTAAAATTATATAGTTTCTAAAATGTAAAAATCAACATTCACATACTTATTTGGATAAAGTCTTAAAATATATGTATTTTGTAAACTATGTTTATAAGAAATTATATCATTCATCGATTTCTTCAGCGCCATTTGTCAAAACTAATATCATGTAAGATAAACATTGCCTGCAGGTAAACAGATACTTGCACGACCAACCCGGCGTCGCCCAGTCCCTGCCGATGCATTTCGACGTGTTGGCCAACTTCAAACGAATGCAGGACAGCACACCGTCAACTCTTGCCGATTCATCGGACGAAGATAGTTAGATGCGTACGTGTAGCATTTGTGTTTTAATTTATGACGTGTAGGACAACCCGATGCTTGACGAACTCATTTGTTGAATAGTTTTATTTTAACTCTATTCATTTTAAAATGTACGTGGTGCCATCTATCCACTGATATAAGTAACATTTTTGTGTGATGCTACCCTAGATACACCTAATGTCACATCGCGGCAAAATGGTTCAGTGGCTATGTCATTTCATCGTTACAGATTTCATAGTGACAACTGATGTTCAGCTCCTAAATAGGCTAAGATGTCTCCGAGAGGTCTAGAAACATCTCAACATTCCCGTGTTAAACACTACAATTGATGATTTTTTAACTAGTAGTTTTTAAATAGTACAAGGAATTCCCTATAGTATCATAATTAGATGTCCAAAATGTGATAAAAAGAACCTTCTCTTTTTAACAAAATTAGTATAAAGAATACCTTTTTTTTATTTGAGTTATCGATTACAAAATATTAACGGCTAAAATATTGACGCTACTCCAAACACTCTACTGCCTCCTGCAGGCTGATTTTAATTCAAATTGGAATCGATCGATCGGGTAGCCCATCCGAGTCTCGAAATCAGATGGGTTTCCGAGCGAGAAGATGAATCTGATTGCTACTATATCTTTCTAATTTGTGAGTTAAATTAACTATTGTTCCGATTTGAAATGCCAAAAGTTTCCGATCGACCAGTTGTGAATCCCAATTATGCGCCACGACTCGGTAAAGACGCAGTTTCCGATCGGGAGACGCAATCGAAATCAAGCTGCCGATTGGTTAAATTGGCCTAAAGGTCTTGCAACTGGGCCATAAACCTTTATAAAAAAATGATTAGTTAAAACATAAACGGTACTTAACCACTTCTATTCTCTTTGGTTTTTGTCTTATAACGTTTATTTGGTTTTCGTTTGAGTTTGTTATCATGGATTGTTAACAAAATATGCATTAAAATATTGGTTGTATTTAATTTTATTTAATCGTACAAAAAGCATTGTATGCAATCATTACAATATTACTTAGGCTACTCGGTAATTATAAACTTTGTCTACTTTTGGCACATCTAATTATGATTCACACAGTAATTTGAGGCAATTGGTGTATTTAGTTGTATTACACATTATTATTATTGTTATATTGCCAATGGACTCGTCTTTTACACTTTGAACTGTATATATGTACCAAATAGGTGCCCTATAAGTTAAATGACGTCTTCCGGCTTATAATAGATGATGTATTTTTGAACGCAACATGGTAATGGATATAATTTTGTCTATTTTTTTGTTGAAGTTATAGTAAATTTGGGATATATTTAGCGGAAAATACGCAGCTGAAATACGCGCGTAATTTACAATAATTTGTATTATGTAAAATGGGCATGTAACATACGTTTCGTGATATCAAGTGACGGGACGAACAAGTCGTGCGCCTGGTGATAGGCGACACGCCTGTCCATGACAGTTGCAGTGCCAATCAGAGCTTTAAATTGCAAAGATCTGGCGGGCACTGCCACTGCGCCCCTCAACCTGAAATATAAGTTGAAAAGTCAAATTACAGGCATATGGGTGCCGCTCGTTACTGCTTGACGACAAAAATAGCTAAGGTGGCAGTGCTTCCCTGAGCGAGCTCTATCACAAAGAGCTCTACTGCCTCCTGTCACGTAGTACATAAATACGTAGTACAATTTTGTTAATTATTCAGAAGGATCATCCCAATGGAGAAGTTGTGTATAGTTGCTACTAGAATAAAGTGTAATTATTGTAATTGCCATAACAATCTAAAATTAAACGTTGCACAATAAATTCGTACCCTCGGGCAAAGTCACATGTGATCAAACATTATTGTGACTGTTACATAATGAAAGGTATTAAAAGACGAGTGAGGGTTTCATCACACGAGTGTTTTAATGCCTAATTATGTGCAGTTACATACACTGCTTTATCTACACACACATAGTATAAGCTCTCTGTGATGTGTTCAGGAACCGCATGTTACGACTGGCGAAATGGCGGCAAATAAAAACTTTTCGCACACATGTCACACAACCGTAGTTATTATTTTTAATTCATAGACAAACTAGAATCGACCCCAACTATCATATCGTTCGATATCAAGTAACGTGTGAAATTGTCAAAATTGTTTGCTATTGACATTTCATTTCGAATAAAACTTCATCTCGACTGATATTAGAATTGAGGTTCAATCAAATTGTTTTGTTTTTCAGAGATGTTCAAAAATTAAATGTAATAATAACATCGAATTCGATGGTAATAGGAAGCAATAACAAAATTTTCACAGATAGGAAATTTGTTCTACCAAAACCGTTCATCTTTATGCTGGTCGTAATTTGCGGTTTTTGAACACAATGTAGAATGTTATGTGTGTAGATAAAAGCTTTTTAATCACACTTGCACGTAAACAGTGCTATAACATGCAGGCAAAGTCGACCGTTATGTCCTAAATTATGCCCACCTGCATATTTATTCCCTGACCGCTATAACTTGGGCCTTTTCAAATCGAGACTCAGTAGGCGTGCGTTCTCCACTGTCAAATTCGTCGTCACTTTCCATTAAGTGAGATGAAAATCAAATGCGCATTTAAAAATACTTCCATGGATGAACTCTTTCACAAGGAGCTTTATTTTTATAAACATATGAGTTAAGTTATTATTGTCAAAAGGAATTTTAAAAAAAGTTTTATTTTATTTAAGCTCTTCCAAAGGCTTTAAACATAATTTTACAAACAGATTTACCTGAGTATTACAACTCGTTTAATAATGATATTTCTGCCATAACAGCGTATTATATAATATAAATACTTATGACCGAATAATATAATTCGACGGCCCCACCGAATAAACGTGTAAAGGAGAAGCGATTAAAAACTAAATAACTCATTAGATTGGATATACGTAAATACAATGTATGACCAAATTAAAAATGAAAAAACATCATATTTTATATTAAAATATGAAACACAAAACAATATTGATATTTTGTGAGAAATTAATAAAAAAAAACTCTTTTAAAATTTAAAAGGATTTTTCTTCCAACCGCCTCAGTGGCCGAACGGTTACAATCCTGGACTGCCACGCAGACGTCCCAGGTTCGATTCCCGGGCCGTGAGAAATATTCGTATGGCCTACATTTATTTCTCTCGCGAGTTTGGGTGTAATTTGTGGTTGTCTATGTGTGTGTCCATGGCACCCGCGACACAGGGTTTCCCTAGTGCGGGGCTATGTTGAGTGTGTGCGTTTTTATGTTATTATTCTAGTAAAATTTACTTTGGCGACTGTTCGCTTGTAGTGTTTACAGTATTATTCGTGAGAAAAGTTTTTAAACTTTATAATGTAACATAATATTACTTTGTTTTACTATGAATATTAAGTAATTGGTCATACATTTGAAAAGTACAAAATGCATAACAATTTTAAAGATTTTTAAGGATTCCCACGAACAATACCACAAAATTAGTTTGTTATGAACATGCAAGAGTAGATATTATGCAAAATACATACTTGGAATATTCGTGCGAGATCGTTGATTTTATTTTCCGTAGAATAAACATTGGAGTACCGAATAATTATACATATATATAAAAATTATGATATGTAGTTTGAGCGGGAAAATCCAAAAATGCAAGAAAAAGTTACGGTAAAAGCTTTTACAAGTTTATTCGGCAGGGCCGTCGAATTGTGTTAATGGTTATTGTAAATTTACAATAACAAAATTTACACATTTATAATCTATGTTGTCATGTAAATAAGTCGTTTAGTCAAGTAAGTTACGTCCATTGGTGCTCATCCCACCAAGCCGGATCGGAACTAAAAAAGGCACAACTTATGACACCAAGTGACGGGGAAAACAAATCATGCGCCTGGTGGTAAGCGACACGCCTGTCCATAACAGTTGCAGTACCACTCAGAACTTTAAATCGCAAAGATCTGAGAGGCACTGCCGCTGCCTGTCACCCTTGAAACATAGTTTTCAAGTCCCATGTGTCATCATAACAGACATAAACTTGGATGAGTAGTGTATATAATACGTCAGTCTACATTAAATTTTACACAGTATACATTCTGACGTCGATTCGCGCCAACGAAAACTAAATTTAAGCTAATTTCGTTTTGTCCTTTTCGATATCAATGAAAATAGGGCCTAAGGTTTAATTTTAGTTTAGAGCACTAAAATTTGGACAATTTTTGAGATCACTCGCAATTGCATTACGTATAAGGCCCAATTTACTTTACCACGGGAAGCGAATTTTTTAAAGAAATTGTATAATCTTCATGAAATTTATAGGAATTATGTAATGCACAAACTTGATACGTTAGCTGCGGGAATTCCCGAGATCGTGCGGGAATTGTACATACGCGTAACCTATTTTTAACTCGTATCAGAATTGACACGTACGTTACGTTACACATTTGACATGAAGATAATTATGCCATGGTCACAAAATTTGAGCCTAAAATTATGGATTGGTCTATGGGGCTCGACCAATTTTACGTCTCTAAGCTAATATGAACTGTTCTATTCCGCCGACGTTAGACGAAAGTGTGCATGTGATATTTTTTAAAGAAATGTGTTAGTATACTGCCGTATACATAAATTGACTTTTGAATGAAATCCTGTCTTTGCAAGAAGTCGTGGACAGTAAAATTCAGTTAGAAATTTTTCATATTTTTTAGATAACACCGTGTAACACGACTTTTATTTCCGAGTTATTAATATCATTTTCTAATTGGTTTTAACTGAACAAAAATATGAAAAAACTATTGCCCTGCAAAAACTTGACTTTTGTGGTTTGGAGAAGGAAAAGTTGAAATTTGCGTACCGTAAAAACCAAGCTCAAAAATTCGGGGAATTACATCTATTCGCTAAGTTTTATTGAAATCCGTTACCGGAAATTGCACGAAACCGGATTGATCCCCTAGTTTGCCACCCTTAGCGGTGGAATATTTCTTCAAATTTAGATGGGACCACTACTGAGGTACCCTTTTTCCAACAAAAAAGGAATCGACAAAATTCGTTCACAAATCGAGTTATCGCGAAACAAACATACAAAAAAGTCGGTTAAAAAAAGGCCGGATGTCACTGTATATTGATTTTTTCCTAGGGCGATAAGGTATGAAGTTACCACAAGTAAAAAATAGATATTCTTGTATTTCATTTCTTTATAACATTGTTTTCTTTGTTTTGAGTTTTTGTTACAT